CTAAGCCTTTGTTAGCCAAACAGCTTTTGAATTTGCAGCTTTCCTAAATGAAGATGGCAGAGGCTAGTGAGAACAGGAATATGGAAGAGAAAGCAAATAGCCATAATGTGGCAGGTAAGGCAAGGAGATGGTGCTTTTGCTTGGTAAGCTGCACTGTCAGGTACAGAAAAGAGTTGTTTTTGACTCTTGAGCTGGATACTCTCCAAGATTGCTCCTATTATAGGTTCTTTGTTATTACCCAGTAGTCTCACAGGAGCATTTTGAACCTGTGGTAACTGTGTCTCTTTGCATGTGGCGTAGTTGTATCTATGTGTTCAGTACTGGTAGGAAACAGAACTTGCCAAGTCTTCATCTGCTGGGGTTTTATTCATGTTGACCAACTCTTCTGCTTTTACTCTCCAGATTTCCAGCATCCTTGTCAGTGCCTTAACCATAAGCCTTTCTTGTCTTTTCTAGTTCTTTATAATTTGGTAATAGTGAGGTATGATGTAGATAGAAGATGCATTTTACCAGAAATGAAGTATTAACTGTCAGCAAGTACTTGTTGTTATTTTATCGCTTTTTGTCAGAAAATGGAATAGTCAGGCTAGACTAAAATATCTGAAAAACTGAAAAAATATTGAGGAACAATGTAGGGGCTTAGGACAGCTCAGCCCCTACCACAGGGGAGGTTCATGGTGCCTATGTCCTGGCCTGCTGCTTGTCTAGAGGATCTTGGCCCTTGCTGGGCCTTCCTTCAGGCCAAGGTGCCCAACAGGTGACTCCGGGAGAGCTCTAGGGCCCGAGCTCACTGGTTTAGATATGGGATCTGTTTGTCATCTAGACATGAGCAGAAGACCCTTCCTTATAGCTCTATGTAATAAGACCACACGACACACAGTAGCAGTAACACTTGTAAGGAAAAAGAGGTTTTTGTGAACTTTATTGGGGGAAGGAGGATTAAAGGTTGTAATACACAAGCTTTAGTCAGAGGTGAAGGAAAAAACTCCAATTTTACAACTTTACGTTACAGCAGAAATAACGCTTCAGGACTTGCATGTAAAGTTTCTCTGTGGTATCAGACTAGCCTTGAGGGTTAAATACAAACATATTTTGCACACATCTTGCAGTCTGAGTTGAATCTGTTACTAGTTTAATTCATAGGTTGATTTAAGGTACATCTCAGATGCCAACTTAAAAATGAGGAGTAGTGTGTGAACCAGGTAGCATTTGTGAACCCTCCCTTCTGCAATCCATTTGTTTTCTCATCCAGTTCAGCTTCCATAGAGATGTTCTGCTTCCTACCATTTCTAAACAGATAGTATTTGTGCTGTACAGTTCTTAAGAAAGACATAGATGCAAGGCCTGTACCTATCAGTAAAAGAACCTTAGACGAACTCTTAAAACAGATTCTCAGAACTAGGGAGGGAAAAAAAAAAAAAGGATAAAACCTCCTCTTCTATCACAGTGTGTCTGTAAGAACAAAAAGCAAGGCCAACTTCGAAACAAGCTGTAATGCACTAATGGTGCACTGACAGTTTTTTGGAATAAGTTGTTCTTTATTTGCAACCATTGTAAACATCTCCTTCCAGTACACAGACATCACAGTTTTTGCACATTATTGCTTTTATACTGTGGTAAACGGCAATTTCTATTAGTATGCAGCTGTCTCGGCACTGTGTGGTAAGAAGAAACTGCCCACAAGCTCTTGTTACTTGCTTCTTCATTTCTCCCTCGTGAACGACAATACTCTAGACTAGCACAGGAAACATCTCTCCAGAGACAGACTACCATTGCACTACAGCAACATTAACAGGAATGATAGCAAGAACAGTAGGTCACACTTTTATCATGCATTCACTACTTTTTTTTTTCCAAGACTACTGACTCTGAACTCCCATCTAACTAAATACAAACAGTAATTCATAAATCAAGTCTGATTTTGTGTGTGTGTGTAAAGCATTTTTTATTTAAAGAAGGATGGAAAATCTGAAGAATGAAGGCTTGCTCCTTCAGAGTGCAAATCTATAACCTTTCATCTGAGGTGCTTAAGTTGTCCCTTCTCCTGTTGTGCTTTACGACGAAATGCCCAGTTCTCCACACTGCTGTACCAGAGCACAAAGCACAGCCACTTTGTTTTCAAAACATGCTCTTGGTTTCCTAAGTAGCACTGCCTTTAAATCATGCTTTCAAATTAAGTTGGTTACTTGCAAAACAATGTGTTTCGACTTGTTGAAAGACTACATTTTATTTTACAGCAAACCTTTTATCTTCATATTAGTGTGTTTATGGAGTAGCACCATGTTTCAAGTATATGCTAAACAACAGGGTAGTTAGTTCCAGTAGGAACAGCTTAACAACAACAAAAGTTTACAGAACCACCTTGTCTTCAGCTTGACATTGACTTTTTTAGATTGTTTTCAAAAATATTACTATTTACATGCAAACTTTCACAAGAGTGGATGTTTTAAAGAGGCAGCAAGTTAGAAAACTAACAATTCTTGCTAGTTCTAATAAAACAGTACATACTTTAAGATGTGACACTTAATTAGTAACACCATGAAAATTTGCCAAGGCTTTAACCCTTAAGACTATTTAGAATAAATTATGAGCAACCAGGTCTGATGTTAAATAAATTGATTATATCAGCTTGCAGGAAGGTGACCTAATACTGTTTTTAATCTTCCATTACAGTAGGATTATCTTAGGTTCACTCTACAATGTGATAGACTTGGTATAAAATCCGTCTGACTGGTGCTTTATCCTAGATACATTTTTTCCATATATTTTAATTACTACTACAATACAATAAGCTTACCAGTGGTGCAAAAAGGGAAATGCAGTCCTACTCTAAATATAGTCACTCTTAGACAGGACTCGGGTACTGGATTGCAAAAAACTGCATGCAAATTCTGACTGTTTACTGGGAAAATGTATTGGGTACTAACACTGAATATTCCTTTTACACAATTACAACATCCAAGGTAATACATTTGTTAAACCATATGCCACTCATTTAATGATGGTTGAGATTTCTTCCTCAGTTTGTGTCTTCTCACAGTATGTTCCCAGCTCATAGTTTTAATTAAAAAAAAAAAAATGCATCTCACAAAGGACTCAATTCTAGACACTGAGGTGTCTTACACTGTATCACATGAGACCATCATGATTATCATCTGCATCTTTAAAAACAGACTATTAAGTTTAAGGAGATTTTTCTCCTCTAATGTAACACTGTCTACTTATCTTTACCCTCTACGTTATGGTGATATGTTACATAAATTCCTCTTTGATCCTGTTTGATCCTTTATGATCCTGTTTCTATACTTTGATAGCTGTCTCTAGTAACTTTAATCATGACTAAATTTAATACTGATTAGAGCCATATAAAATGACTATTCCTAACTGAACTTGTTTGTCTTCCAATTCTTAATACTTGTGCACATTCGCACAGTAGGAGAAACTTACCATATTAAAAATACTTTCTACATCAAATAATTTTAGATATTGGTATTGAAAAGATATTCATAAATAAACTTTCTTTACTCTCACCTATACTTGTCTTGAAAATGGAACATCTGCATTACCTCTTTCCGAAAATGATTTTTTTACCCTGATCAGGAGCTATTCCAGAAACAAGCAACTGCTGGTTGCTTTTAAGGGGCCAAGAGCAATTGCGTGCAGTGCAAGAAGTCACTGTTTTATACGATAAATCACAGAATGGAAGGGACCCCTTGAGATCATCCAGTCCAATGCCCTTGCTCAAAGCAGAGTCAGCTAGAGCAGGCAGCTTAGCACCTTGTCCAGTCAGGTTTCGAGTATCTCCAAGGAGATTTCATTTTACATATAATACATATACTATTTCGTGTAACTCACGTAATTTAGTGTCACTTGCCACCAAAAGAGGCTGTCCTTTTCCCCTTTTACTGAAAATTAGTGTTCTTGGAGAATCTCTTTATGATTTAGTAATTAAATAGAAGTTAATTAATTTACCTGAGATGATTAAAACAAAAAAGCATGAAAATTTGTATTAGCATACAAATTTTGTGCAGCTATGTGCTATTTAGGTGTATCATGAAAGACTGTCCAAAAAATTCAAGCTTCTAAGGCTATGATCTGGATGCAGAATCAAATTAAAACACTGATTGAATAAAGCAGAAGGCACTTATTTAAATAGTACGTTTTAGAAAATGAAGCAACGGTCATACCAAATTGGTTTAAAGCTGCTTTAAGCAAGAATTAGTCACAATACAGACACAAAGCCCTATTGACTAGATTGTCTGAGATGCTAGTATGAAGGAACGTGTCACAGTTGCATCCCTTCTGTGGAAAACACGGCTTGGTCAGAGGCTGTACTCGGAACTTATTTTCACAAAACAGGAACTGCAGCTGCATTGAAGTTTCATACTAAACTCTATAAAAGGGACTAAACTAACTCTCTTGAGCTTCCCACTGAGAATACTGCAATAGCTGCTAAAAGAAAAATACAAACAGAGGCAAAGTCAAGCAGTCTGAGCAGCTAACTGGGGGGCCTGACTACAGAGAATCAAGATTTTTGATAGCAGGAATATTCTTGGAAGGGTCTGATGATTTGATCCTTACACTGTTTATTTGTCATTCCTCTTGTTTGTCTGTAAAGTAAGGTCTTTCTAGGCATAGGAATTTGTAGGTACAAATCTCCAGGTAGAAAACTTCTCTAGACAAAACGAATTTGTATTAAATACATTACCATGTCCAAAAATTAATTCTCGTCTCTAAAATCGTAAGTGATTAATACATCCCCTTCACAGACATCATTATCACAGAGAAATTTAACGTTGATTTATGGAGTATCAACCTTGCACGGAAAACAAGAAGGATGCAAAAAAATGTAAAATCAGAATACTTTGAACTAAAAATATATTTTAAAAGACAATAAACAATTAAACCTATTAATGAAAAACATGAGTCAGCATAAAATACCTGCTTCGTGTTCCTGCACCAAGAAATACAAAAGAAATTGGGAGAACCAAGTTATCCAGAGGATCTTTAGACTTTTGAGTTATGCTTAAAAAATGAACAAAGATAGTCCTTTGGAGAATAGCATATAAAGAGCTGTAAACAGAGGTTGATTGTCCAAGCGTCCGTAATCGAAATTTTGATTTTTTTATGTTAAACAAGTTCCATTGTTAGACAGTTTTTGGCCAAATATGCAAAACTTCCATCCAAATGCATAATTCCATTTTTAATGCAGAATCTGACAGACTACAGAGCAGGTTATGGTTTTGCTGGACTTCTTAAGGTCAGTATGACATCATAATCCAGAAGGAGTCCCTTAATTTTTTCATGGAATTTCTCTCTGTACTGGTTGAAGTGCATAATGCTTTCTGGTTCTTCTTCAAACCAGAACTTGTCAAACTCATAAACTAGATAACCTGTAAAGAAAACATAATGGAAATCTGCACAACCGAGTCCCACAATTTTCTGCTCTGAGACAGTTAGCCCCCAAATGGTCCTTGGGACTCTCTTCAAGCCCTCGAGACAGGGAGTGTCTCATACTAGTCCACAGCAGCGTTCTGTATTCAGTAATAATGAACAGGAGAAGAGTGCAAGCACTGCATTTTCAGGCTAAATCCAGTAACCTATAGAAAGCCTCACATATTTATCCCATAAAGATAGCAGCCCATTCCAGTGATGGATTGGGAAGAAACAGGAGTGAAGTATGCTCAGAAATAAATTGCTGGCACATTAAATGCAATAGTTTAATGTACAGTTCTCTAACATAACTAGAGATTAGCAGATCAGATTAAATATCAGCAGATACTAGCTTCCTGTAGCTAATGAGAAAAAGAGTGGAAGTGCACTCTAAAAAAATGCAGCTCTGCACTGCACAGACCTCCCTCGGGAACCTGTGCTGCAGGAGCTGCCGTTACTTACAGTAGAACTGATGGAAGTGCTCCAGTTGTGGCAACCCGGAGACAGCGTTGTACAGATGAGGCTTTAGAGCACCACTCTTAAGCAAGCTGTATGCCATTTCTGTCAGGTTGATTCCCACTATTGCATAAGAGTATCTGCAACAGCAATCATATTTCACATTTAACCTTTTACCATATGGACAGAAGGACTCACGAACTTTCCAGAGCCAGTCTGCATTAGGATAACTGAGTCCATTTTTCCTGAGATGAATTCACAAGGTCAATGATATGTTCGTTTAATTGATGATGCAAAATGTCTCAGTTTTCCTATTCATCACCTCATTGCGTAAGGTCATATCCTTTGTAGTTCAAGTCATGAAAGTCTCCCGTTCTTTGCAGGTGACAGAGTTAACGGGGCAGTGGATGGATCAGAGCGATATATGCAATATCACTATCTGATTTGTTTTAAAACAGTGTTTTCCTCTTCAATGAGCAGAAACGTTTAAATAGGCAGACCCTTTTTGGAAATTAAGTAAAGCTTTGAAGCAACATCAAAACTTCTACTTGTATGTGGAACAGAAGCCCAGCAAATCCATTCCAACATGGGATGAGTAAGTAGGTAACGAATAAGCATTCTTTCTAAGTCTAAACCTATTAAAAAAAAAAGCTAACTTAGGTTAAAGGTACCTACGGTGTGGAAAACCACAAACATTCTCCTCTTAAATTTCAGCATATGTATTTGATAGTCTTCATGTGAATTTTTATACGAAAAAAAAAAGCCAGAAAAAGTGGTGTAATGACTTACCCCAGCTTTGGGTGGTTTGAACGAGAAAGGATCTGACGAGCTTCTTCAGTGTAATGTTTACTAAAATACCTGTCAATGTAAATTAAAACCTTTCATTAATTCTTTTAGTCCATACACAAAGTATTCACGTGTTCAACATCAAAATGTGTAACTTCAGACTAGAATTAACTACTACTTTCTACTGAAAAACAGCACGAAATGAAAAATAGTTGTTGCAAGGTAAATGATACTGAGCATGAACAATAAAACAATCACTCTGATAGAATGGCAAATATGAAGATCTCCTAAATCCACAGGTTAACTTAATGAAGTTATGTGAACATATTTACTTCACATAATAGTAATTCAGAAATTTAAAAGCTTTAATGTCTTCCTTTTAAGTCATTACATTCCAAATCTCTCATATGATAGCCAAAAAAAAAAAAAAAAGAGAGAAGTTGGCTTGCACAGCTCTTCCTTTCCTCAACCTTTGGCTTTTAGCTACTACGAATTCACAAAAGGGCAGCTGTTAGAAACCTGTCTTATCTAAAATACATGTTTTCATAGTGGGACAGAAGCCATCATTTTCTATTTGTTTCAGTCTTTCCTCGAAATGGCCTTAACAAGAGAGAATTCATAGATACTGGGAACGAGTTACAGCAGAAGTGTAATATTTATTTTCACTTACACCAGATTCATTAATCCTAGCATGCCCATTCCTCTGAAGTCTGTTTTGGGATCATCACCTTGGAAGCCAATGTCACACCACTGCTTGCTGATTCTGGCCTTCAGGCTCTCATGAGGCATGAGCAAATTCCAGAGCTGCACAAACATGCTTCCATGTTACATACAGCAAGTCACACAATTCAGAATTACAAACCATCCACCCTGGACTGAGATACAAAGGACATGCTGGCCTTTTCAGTTAGGGGCAATCTAGAATCACACTGTCATAGTTTACTCAACCATTAAGATAATTATTACATTTAGCATTAAATGTGCTGGTTCCCGTTCAGAGCAAAGGCAATATACTGACGCTCAAGTAGCAAATACGTGTTTCACTTCAGAAGTTAATTTGCGTATCGTGCTCTCACAGGCCAGCTGTAAATTGAAATACAAATTCACAATGAATGTTTGCTTAGCACATCACAGCACGGGACTTGCCTAGCGAGCGAGACAATTATGAAATGTTAAGATGGCATGCTAATATGCTTGTACAGTAGAAGATATTTTTAAAAAGCCTTAAGCAGTGCTACACTACTCATTTGCAGTTATTTACCATTACTTGAAATGTTACTGGTATTTTTCATCTTCCAGTATTAAGTTACGTTCTTTGATGCTGAGTGAGATTTAGTAACAACTAAAGATTGGTGTCTTTTTTTTAATAATCACTGATTTATAAAGCTAGAGATGTGCATAAGGTTAAATATCTTCATAGCTGTTATCATTTAGCAATCCATTACACACAAAAAAAAAAATCTACTACTTGCAAGTTAAGTTTGATTTCACATGAAATAACCTCTGCATAAATAACACTAGTTTACAAATTTACTTTGATGTGTTAATGAGTCACTGCTATAATGGCTTAGCAGTTCAGAGCAGCAGAGAATTTCAAATATAGGCCAGCTTTCTGTTAAAAATGCTAGCAATAAGTAGATAAATTAAGTTCTTTCTAGCTGCTGGACTTTGTTGCGGGGGAGCGGGAGAACCAAATATCCCACCGAATGGGAGTACCAAATTGGGTACACCACCAAATCTATACTTACAAATTTAAGTTAAGCTATTCAGTCATATCCTTAGAATTAAAAAGAGAGAAAATTATTTTCACCTCAATTAACTGTTCCTCGTGCTCTTTGTTATCTGAATCATAAGGGACCTTTCTCAGACTTTCCACACTCAAATAAAGTTTCTTATATCCTGATATCTGCAACAAGCATATATGCAGCTTTGTCTTAAACCTGAAATAGTAACAAAACACAGCGAAAGTTAGAATTTAGCCATAAATTCTTGCTTCAACTGCATGTATAGGACCTTTCTTACGTTAAGGCTATATAAACACCAAGATTAGGAAGTGGACTAGTCCACTTTATTTTCCGAACCACAGCACACAGTTTAAGTATACTGATGTATGATCCTACTTAGAACACCTCTACGAGATTTCCGTGGTGCACAATCAGGCACTATTCCTTAAAAATATGGGAGAAAAAAAATTATTAAAAGCTCCATCATCATGCACCAAAACTCCCATTACTATCCTGAATACTTTACCTTTGTCTGCTCCTAAGTACTCACAAGACTTGTGATCCCTCAAGCTTAGATGGCATAAATCTTAAAAAAAACTCCCCATATAAACACTTTTTGCAAAATGCTATAGGAGTTTATATATATGAAACACATATCCCATCACAAATTTTAGAGCAAAATTTCAGTCTTGTACATCAAGAAGATGGGAAGAGGAGAATCCCAGCTTTATTAAGATAACCATAACTTTTTAAGTCTCAAAAATCAAACTTTACATCAGAAATGTTTATAGTTTCAAACATACCCTGTATTCCTCTGCTCAATTTTCTTTTCTTTCATTATATCTCTAACACACTTTTCCACGTCAGCTTCGTCAACATGTACAGCATTTCTTAAAACCTGTAAGGTAAATATCTCATTAAAATGCAGAAATCTATTGTCTTGTTTTATTCTCGTTATTTCTCAGTTTATATCCTATGCTTGCCACATACCTGTTCTTTCAAAAACTATGAAAGAACTAAGGTTAGCCATAAATGTTGCACTTCTTTCAATGATACAGTGCTACAATGATATTGCATTTGCCTTAACCATAATTTCTCTTAATCCGACTTTATCTCCAAAACAGAGAGAACAGCCTGCCTCGAGGAGCAGAAACTCAGCGCAATGACATGTCTGACAGCGCTGCTGAAGAGCAGGCACGAAAGGTGGGTTAATCACGCACTGATCTCCAATATCTCCTACCTTATTCTTTGACGACTCTAGTGAGTGTTCTGCAACACAAAGAAAAGTGAGTGTCAGGTATCAGCATAAACGCCACTCGGATTTCTCATTTCCCCCTCTCTGTGTGGCCGCGCGCTCCGGCGGCGCTGGCCCTTACCGAGGCGCAGCGCGGTGGGCGCCCCGCGCCCGCCCGCCCCCACGACGCGCTGCAGCTCGCACTTGCCCGTCAGCA